TATACCATCCTGTTGTTACCAGAGAAACGGGGCTCTCTGCTTGTTCTTAGTCTAGTTAATAAAACGTTTTAAAGGCAGGAGAGATGGCTCAGTGGTTAGGAACACAGGCTGTTCCTCCATAGGACCCGGATACAATTCCCAAAACTAGCATAAAAGTTCATAACTCCAGTCCCAGGGACTGCAACACCCTGTTTTGGCCTTCATTGGCACCAGGCATGCACGTGGTACACAGAAACACGTGCAAACAAAATACCCATGCATAAGAATTAAAATAAATAAATAATAAATAAATAAATATACACATGTATATATATTTAAGAAAAGCTAGCAGACTCATGACGTTACTTGACTACGGCACCAGGGGGCAGAAATTCTGGGAAGGAAAAAATATATTCTCTTATCGATGGGATAATTATTCCTTCTAGCTCTTTAGCAGGTGGAAGGTGGATCTCCTTCCCAGAGAGTGGTCCTTGGAGACTGAACTGCCCAACTGGAATGTTAGGTCTTTGTCCAGGCTAGAAATTCCTGGCGATTTTCTTGATCTGAAGAAATTTTTTTTTTTTTTCTTACTGGGATTCTGTCCCGTCACTGCCCCCTGGAAGAGGGAACAGTGTCACCCTGCTCTACAGATTAGGCAGGCAAGGTTCAGGGATGTCAAGACAGAGCTTATAGTCACAGCTGCAGTGGGATGGCCAGGAAGATAGATGGCAGAGCTGAGAGTCTGCTATGGTGTGGATCTTCAGCGTCCCCCAGAGAGCCCCTGTAAGCTGGAGGCTTGGTCACCACGGCACACTTAAGTGTCAGCGCAGCAGTGCTAAGATCATAGGCAGAGCTAGCCTGTCCAGCCAACCTCAGGTATTAATGTGAGATAGTGACGGACAGCTGCTCACACAGACTGCACCTTGGGCTCGGCTAACTTCAAAACTTAGATGTTCAACCAGCTGGCCACGGTGGCAAGCTGTTTTGACCAATGATGTATAATATATATTTTTAAAGATTTATTTCTTATATATACAATGGCCTGCCTGACACCTGCATGCCAGAAGAGGGCACCAGATTTCATTACAGATGGTTGCTGGGAACTGAACTCAGTAGCTCTGGAAGGGCAGCCATGCTCTTAACCTCTGAGCCATCTCTCCAGCCATATGTGTTTTTTTAAGATTTGGAATTTGGGGCCTTTTACAGGGTTTCCTTGTCCTGGGTTTGCCACCCACATGACTGCATGAGGATGATTTGGTTAGTTTGCTAATGGCAAGGGAGTTGGTTACCATTGCTACAGTAGCTGGTAGAGACAAGAAGGCAGGCAGAGGAGGGCAGAGGCCTGCTGGGATGACTTCAGAGGTGCCATCCTTGGACAAGTGGAACAGAGGGCACTGGCCGCAAGCCAACTAGAGGTGGGCAGTCTAGGAGGTTGCAGGTTCTGGTCAGGAAGTGTCTATGGGCGAGGTAGAGCTAGAGAAGAGAATGAGTCTCAGTGTCCTGGGTCAACACTGCAGAGGCAGTCGGCTTTTGGGCCAGTCAAGGCTGTGGGTCAGGGTTCGACGGCCATTGATGATTTGGCCGTTGTCTGTGTATTCATGGAGAGTCTCAGTGTGCAGAGGGGGAATCTGCTCTGTGCGGTGCCTTTAATCCCAGCACTCTGGAGGCTGGGGCAGGCACATCTCTGAGTTCAAGGCCAGCCTGGCCTACAGACCAAGTTCTAGGACAGCCAGAGAAACCCTCAAAACCCAAAACCAACCAGCCAGCCAAACAAACAACAAACAATCTCATATCTCAGGAGGCTAAGGCATTGGGACTGTAAACTCCAGGCCAGCCTGGGTGAGATAGCAGATCTGTCTCAAAAGAAGAACAGAGAAGAAACCTCTCACCCCTACAACAGTGAACCGACTCCATCAGTGAGGCAAACTCCACCTCCCAGCACTGCTGTTGGGGACAGTGGCGGCTTGAATAAGAATGGCCCTATTGGCTTATATATGTAAATGCTTACTCCAAAGTTGGTAGAACTGTTTTGGGAAGGATAAAGCGGTGTGTGGCCTTGTTGGAAGAGCTGTGTCGTTGTGGGAGGGCTTTGAGGTTTTAAAAGCCCTCACCATTCCCAGTTAGCAAACATGCTCTCTCTCTCTCTTTTAATGTCTGTGTCTTTCTCTTTGTCTCTCTCTCTTTTTTGGATCGGGTGTGAGCTCTCAGCTACTGCTCCAGCACTGTGCTTGTCTGACTGATGCTGTGCTTTCCCCCACGAGAGTCAGAGACAATAAGCCCCTGGAACGGTGAGGCCCCAAGTTAAGTGCTTTATTTCACAAGCTGCCTTGGGCCTGGTGTTTTGTCAGTGCTATAGGAAAGTAACTAAGACAGGCACTAAGGTTTCCAACCATAGCAGGATGCTCTGTAGAAGCCAATCAGTCAGCAGGGCACTGTTTTGTCATCAACAACCCGGCAAGGTGTTTGACCCCTCTGGGCCCCCGTTCTCTCATCCAGAAATAAGCGTTACATGTGTTGACCCCTTAAGAGATCTGCTACCTCTTAACCCGGAACGACTTTCCTTTCACCCTTTTGAAGAGGTTGCATTAGCTACGACAAAACAGCCGACGTTAACAACTTAAAGGATTCATTTATTTTTGCTGTACATGTGTGTGGCCTGTGGACTGTGTGCACATTCCTGTGCCTGTAGGAATGCTTGCTCATTCAAGGGGAAGAGGGTGTTAGTGACTCTTATCACATCTCACCTTGCTTTCTTGAGATAGGGTTCAGTAAGGTGAACCTGGCCTTCACCACTTCAGCTAGAATGGCTGACCAGCAAGCCCCCAGGGGTCCTGCTGCCTCCTCCCACCCGAGCTGAGGCTACAGGTGTGTGTGTAGCCACGCCTGGCTTCTTATATGGGTGCTTGGGTATCTGAATGCAGATCTCATGATGCTCAGCAAGTACTTTTTCACACGGAGCCATCTCTCCAGCCCAGGAAGCATTTCTGTAGAGTGATCCATCATGGCAAGGAGGGCGTGCCAGACCAGAGGAGCTTAGCCTATGGAAACAGAGGAGAAATTGTCCTCACCACTGGCTTTCCCCTCTTCTTCAAGTCTGCAGCGTAAGGGTTGGTGCCACCTACATTCAGACACGCCTTCCACCTTTAGCTAGTCCTCTCTGAAAACACCCTCACAGACACAGCCAGAGGTACGAATCTCCCAGGGGTCCATCACAGAAGGGCAGCGACTTGACTAAACTCACTCCCATGAGCCTGGACCTTTTCATATGAAGACAAACCTTGACATCTGCAGAGGCCCCATCTGTCCTTGCCTTAAGGGGCTATTATAATGGTATCACACAGATAATACATTTTAAAAACATATATATATATATATATATATATATATATATATATATATATATATTTGTGAGTTAAGACTGATAACTCCTGTTCTCTGGAAGAGTTCTGATAACAGCTGGCCCATCTTTCCAGCCCCAAATAATATTTTTTTCTTTTTCTCCAAGACAGGGTTTCTCTGTGGGATACTGGCTGTCCTGGAACTCAGTCTGTAGACCAGGTTAACCTTGAGCTCAGAGATATACCTGCTTCTGCTTCTGCCTCCCAAGTGCTGGAGTTAAAAGAATGAGCCACCACCGCTGGCTCTAAATAACATACTTTCAATGCTCAAAAAGCAATATGGCTTATGGCTGAGAGTGGGACTACTTAGGTTTGATTCCTAATTCTGTCCCTTGCTAACTATGGGAGCTCAAGCCACTCATGATGCTATGCCTCAGTCTTTCCTGGTTGTGATATGGGAGACAACTGTACCCACATTAGGTTGCTTTGAAAATTAAATGAGCAAACATTTGCAAAGCCTTTTAAAATTTCTTACATTTACTTATTTGCATATACTTTTTTCTGCCTTGGTGTGTGTGTGAGGAGGTCAGAGATCAATTTGGTGTGAGTGAGTCCTTCTTTCATGAGTATCCCTGGGTGACATCTGACCTAGAGACTCCCATCTACCAGTAGATACCCAGATGTGAGAATAAGGTACATTTGTGGGGTGCCCTGGCTGGTGGGAGCAAGGACTGCTGCTGGCTACAGGGTTCTGACTGCCGGCTTTTTGTTAGTGTGGCTTCTTGGAGCCTACAATTCTCTAAGAAACCCCAGTTTCCTTCAAATAACCCACCCCACATCCTAGGCTAGTGCGTTAGGAATCTATTGCTGAATGTTGCTTCTCCATAATTTAGAGGCTCAGAACGACCTATAATTTCTCTAGATGTGGGTTGGGTAGTTCTGCTGGCTTTGCAAAGCGGGTGCAGGGTGGCAGCATTTACCCATTGCCAGGAGGGGCTACTGGCTTGGGGGTTGTATTCTTCTCCTGGAGCCTTCAAACTGAATCCTCACAGGTGTACACAGGAAATAGAAACTCTAACACATACGCTGCAGAAAGCCTCCTTTGCCTTTGGCATTTCTACCCCCGGTATTCTTCTGGTAGGAGTGACTGGATCATAGGGCCAACGTTGACTCAAGGACCCAATACGCTTTGAGATCTCATTCATATGACCTACCACAGTGAACTGACACCCTCTGAAGCCGGGAGCCACAATAAACCTTCCTCCCTCAAGCTGTTTATTTGGTTAGGTATCTGTTCACACAGTGAGCAGGAGGCTGAGCTCTCCCTCTGAATTCTGCTGTTTCCCCCTCACAAGCCTCTCTGAGCCTCAGTGTCCTCATCTGTAAAATGGAGGGGGAGTCAGTAATGGCTGACCCTCACCCCACACGGTAGGAATGGCTGTGAAGCTGGGTGACAGGTGGACAGCACTCAGTAAGCACACCAGTGGCACCTGGTACCAATGAAAACTTGAACTCTGGTCGCCCACTTCCTAGAGTAGGTACAGGGAGAATCCCTGTCCTAAGGGGTCCCAGGCCCAGGAAGGCTGACCACTGGGATGGGTCCCCACAGACTTGGCTCTTAGGTCCCCTCTAAGCCCTGTGTCCCTCAGCCCACACACATCTTGCCGTTTTACTTTTTTTTTTTTTTTTTTTTTTTTTTTTTATTAAATCACATACAACTCAGGGCATCAGGCCCCAGCAACTTCATTAGAACCTGGGTTTGTGGGAAGTAGGAATCAAAGGGTGGACAAGGTCTCCCCATCTTCTCATGACAGGGACAAGGACATCAGACATTACCCCAAGGAAATGGGGGACAAAAGGCCCAACAGAAGGGACTAGGACAGTGACAGCTACCCTGAGGTTAGGAGGGTGTGGTGCTGTCATAGTCTCAGTGCTTCTGTCCTCAAATTCATGTTGGAGTCCTTATGTTGAAGGCTTAGGGGGTGATCAGGTCATGGAGTGTAATCCTCAAGAATGGGGCTAGTACTGCTACGCAAGAGACCTGAGGGGTTTTGTCTGTGCCTCTACCATGTGAAGATGTGAACAGAAGGGGTTTCCTTTGAAACACTGGGTCCAAAGGTGCCTTGATTTGGGCTTTGCTGCCTCCAGAACAGTTATAAACCAACCTCCAATGTTCTGAGCCACCTGGTCTGGGCTATTTTGTGATAGAAGCTAACTCTATCACTGTAACTTTTGTGACAGGCTAACTCTGAGAACCGGTGGGCTCCTTCAGCCTCAGAGAACATAAATGTCTCTTACCATTATGATGGGAACAGAGGCTGTGAGGGGACCCCACTTCCTGGCTCTTCAGATGGAGGGGTTGGTGGAGACTGATGATGAAGGAGGGAGAACAGAAAGGGAACACAGCCAGTAGCAGGGCCAGGGGCTGTGAACAGGATGGTGGCCCCACTGGGCCAAGAGAAGCCAGGCAGAAGAGCCAGGGCTAGAGGCTGTGGGGGAGTGCATTGCTCTACTTAATAAAGCTGCAAATATGGAGTGCAGAGGTGAACGGTTTTTTTCATCAGCCACCCCTGGGTGAAGTTCCCACCTAGCTCCAAAAGTAGGCCGGGGTGTTTCTGATTTAATAGCACCTAAGCTACTATGCAACCTACCCAGGGCCCCAGAGATGTGGGGGTCACAACCCATCTCCCTTGTGTTAAGAAGGTAGGACATCTCTTCATCAATCCAGCCCAAGAAGGCTGCAGCTGGTCCCCATTCCAGAGGCAATAAGGAGGTAGACAGGCCCCAGGGGGAGGCAGCAAGGGGTGCCACTCCCAGCGGGTTTCCTCGAAACAAGATGGGGTGAACAGATTTGGCAGCCCTCTGACATTGCCAGGGAAGACCCTGGCTCTTCTTCAACCATATTCCAAGGAGGATGTAAACAATGCTGCTCGGGGCCACACACAGCTGTCACTCTGAGCAGCCTTCAGTGCTGTGGAGGCCCCGCCGGAGCTCAGCCCCAGGTCCCTGAGGAAGCTCACACCCCAACGGCACTCTTTTCACCCTCTCTGGAGCTGGGGCCCTCCTGGGTCTTCTGCATCTCCCAGCCTCTGACCCACGTGTAGGCTGAGGAGCCCCCCAGCACCATCAGGTTGCTTGTCCACCACAGGAAGCTCTTAGTCTCTTCGTAGTAGAGCACAGCCAGCACTGTCTGCGCACAGGCTTTGGCTGTGCCGGACACATTGTGGGTCAGGGGGCTGGTGAATTTGATCTGCAGTCCTGTCACGTAGCCGATGGCAAAGCCGAACAGGCCACCCAGTGTCATCATGACCCAGAAGTGGGCACTGTCCAGATGAGCAAAGCCAAGAAGAGCGTGGAGCTCGCCCAGCAGTACCATCAGGGGCAAGAAGAGCACACAGGCGTTGACGTTGTTATAGAAGGTTAGGCGCCAGATACTGTTGTCTACTGCCGGAAGCACCTTCTTCGTATAGATGGCATTGAGTGAGACGCAGAGGCTGGCCAGCACCCCGAAGATGGTGCCCGTCAGGGACAGGGTGCCCTCAGCTCCCTCTTGGTCTATACCCAGCCAGAAACCACCTGCAACAAAGATGGACAAGCGATGATGGGAAGAGGGATGAATCCGGGAGGGAGAGGGACAGTATTCTGACGCCACAGTCCAGACTGTTCTGAAGCCTTACCTCATCATCAACATATCCAAAGTCTAACCTCTGCACCAAACAGGGGCTGAGGGAGTGGACCCCAGAATGAAAACCTGCATCTCCTCCTCCCCCCAGCCAGAATCTAGCAGAGGGGGAAGGTATAAGGACAGATGTGACCCTGTTACCTCTCTAATTACAACTGTAATCACTCTAATGAGGGCTATAAAACAGCATAGGCTCCTGATGGCCTGTGGGGTAACGGTGCTAAAGGAGGAGGGCCAGTTGGTGGCTAAAGTGATCTTGGACAAGAGACAGGGTTCTAAGCCTTGGCTCCCTCAGAGCATTAGGTCAGAGCTGCTCATGGCCTAAAGCTGCTTGCAGAGCCACTTGAGGACTCTATTCATTCTTGGGTGACCCTCTGCTCAAAGAGCCTGCATGGCTCCCCAGGCCACAGTGCTAGATTTCCTGTATCTGGCCAGCAGTTACAGGATGGCTTCAAGCCACCTTCTCAGCTCCCCACTTCTCACTACAGATATACAGATGTACATCTGTATCTAAAACATTTTTCTCTTCTTAGGGATTCCCCCATTCTTCAAGGCCAAAGCCAGTCTCTGCAGGGATCTCTTCCTGATCCACCCAGGATCTAGGCCTCTTCTCAGTGTCCAGCCTCCCACCCTTTAACATGATGCTCCTGGCTTGCCCATTGCTGGCAGGTACCTGCCCGAGGCAACACTCTGATCTCTTTATTTAGACTCCGAATTCCCACAAGGCAGAGGCTTACTGCTGCTAACCGAACGGGATCAGTGACATGGAACAGCAGGACTAGCACAGGCATCAGAGAGATCTGGCCTCTGACTGCTTTGTGATTTTGAAGCTGAGCTGCTTGAGAGAAGTCACTTAACCTCTCTGAGTTCCAATTTCCTTCATCTGTAAAATTTAGGGCCATATTCTTGCTCCCTTAACCAATCTACTCTTTCTCTTGTAACTAAAATGATCTTCCTACAGTGGATCTCCCCTGTGTCTCGCCATTGTCTTCAGGAAAAACTGTACACATTCAAATGTGTGTTCCTGGCCTGTACTAGTCCGGCAGCCTCATGCCAGCAACGACTTCCCAGAAAGGTCTGCTTAGATCGCTCCTCCTGCTCCCTACTCCCTCTAGAACCCCCACAACCCTTATCATCTAATATAACTGTCATTTCTGCCATCAGCATCTTTCATGTATCGGGAGTGAGGACCCCATCCTATCCTCAAACTTGTACCCTAAAACTTGGTACAGGGCCTGGCAAAAGCTTGGCCACAAGTTAATAGCCATTGCCTGGCTGGCTGGCTGGAGACTGCTATGGGGAAAGGCACAAGTCTTCAAGTAGACAAGTGGGAAGAGGCAGGGTGCTCCTGCAGGCCCAGCTGCTTGGAAGGTGGGGGCAGGGCCAGCCGGGCAACATAGCAAGATGCTATCTCAGAACAAGGGCATGAGGCCCTATAGCAGCATAGGCCCTTGGCTCAGCACAGCCCACTGTGGGTTTCTCTGCTCAGCCAGAGCACCCCATGTCTTCTTGGTTACCATCTGAGTCCAGAAGCGACTCCATTCTCCATGCTCAAGGTGCTCGCCCCTGGAGAGGCTGTGAGCCGAAGAAGAGGCTTTGCAAAGTGCTGCATGCCTGGGAGGCCATGTCTGGGATGGAACCTCTCTCACCGGAGGAAGGGAGGGGAGATCCAACAGATCGTGTCGGTACTGGGACAGCAGTGAGTCCCACTTTCCCGGGCCACGAAGGCAGGCCACCATGATTCTCAGCTGCCTCACTATCCGCTACTTGCCACTTTCCGCACCTGGGCTCAATGTCTCCAGTGACATACCTTCCCGAATGTAAACTCTCCCACTAGGAGGCCCATCCCCTCTAACCCGGTGGGGCTAGTGGACTGAAGTGGGATCCCAGGGGAGCTTGTAGGACAAAAAGGAAGTAAGGAGTATCAGCCCTCTTCGGGTGGGGGCAGGTGGCAGTTCCCCAGGAAGGGGTGCTGGCAGTGCTGACAGTTTTTTACCTGCCCCGTCTCTGGCCCAGACCTCTTGCCCCTGGATCCAAGAACTGTCCAACCAGGAGAACATTTCTAGGGCAGATGGGACGGGTTGGCCTGGTTACCACATCCAGCCTGGGCCTCTGAGACACCAGGAAGACGAAGTAGGCCAAATGAGACAAACTAAAGAACCTGAGCAGGTGCAAATAAGGGCCACTTTCCACCGGCCCAGGACTCTGAGGGAATGGATGCCCTGGTCTCTGTAATCCAGCAGCCACTCAATTCAACATGCTCAGCTGCAAAGGTTCCCTAGCACATGCTGTCCAAACCAGGAGCTCCTGGCTACCTGTGACTAGGGTCAGGTTAGAACACCCATAGCTGAGGAACTGGCTGTTTAAAAGTTCACTGGACTTTCGTTTAAAAACACATTTGGCCTGTAGTTACTGTGTTGGGTTACACTGTGCTAAGCCCCAGTGGGCAGGAACAAGGGAGCCTGGCTGGAAACGCAGGCCAGGGAGTGTGGCCAGTCTGGGATCGCATCCCAGACTATCCGCTTCTTAGTTGTGGGACTGTGGCAAGCAGCATAACCTCTCGGAGCTTCAGTTTCCTCATTTTTTCGGAGATGCCCGCAGGGATGCCCCCACCCGGAGAACATAAAGAGGATGATGCTGCCCTTGCAGTGATCGGCACATTTCTATCATTAATTATTTATGTCACTTCTGCGGAGACACTTAAAGCCTCTTAAAGCACATGTATATCGGAGCGCTGAAATGAGCCAAACCCGATGACCTCAGTTCCTTCTTGAGCTGAGGGAAGGATCAGCGGCAGGGTGGCCAAGAGTGTGATCTATGGAGGTAACTGCTCACATTCAAAATTCAACTCTCTCAGGGATTAGCTGTGGGTTACTTAGGCTCCCTGTTTGTCCCTTGGGTTTTCCTCTTTAAAATATTTTACCTTGTAATGGGGACGAGGTGAGTTAGGATGGAGGCAAACGCTTAGATGTGAGTGCCCGGCACATGTTAAGCACTCAAGCATCGACAGCTGTCTTTGCTCTAGTCGCTGCTGACAATATTCTTTTCACCCTGGCTGGGTGAGCATGGGTAACTTGCTGAGTGACCGAGAGGAAGTTGTTCTCTACTCTAACTGCTGATGCAAGAGACCTGGGAGAGGTAAAGTGTGAAGGCGCCTTGAGGATTTCAGTTCACTGCCCATCCTGCTACCCACAATCCCGGAGCCCCACTCACCAATGATGACGCCGCAGGTGAGCAGGGCATAGAAGGACGTGGTCTGTCTGAGCAGCAGGTAGGAGAGCAGCACATTGAACACAGTGGTGAGCGAGCGTCCCACGTTGTAGAAGGCCACCCCCACGTACTTGAGGCAGAGGTTATTGAAGGTTATCATGCCGATGAAGACCACCGACAGCGGCAGCACACTTCGCGCCACCTTGAGGTCCAGGTTCAGGGTGGGGAAATCTACCGTACCAGGGCAGCAAGTAGCCAGGGTGCTGAGGCCCTTGCACAGCAGCGAGGTCACCAGGCATTGGTAGAAGGTGACGAAGATAGGGGTATCCAGCTGCAGGGAGGGGCTGTCCAGCAGGTACTTGTTGAGGAATACCATAGAGATGGAGGTGATCCAGTAGAGAGAGACCACCAGCGCGATCTGCAGCGCCCTTAGCAGAAATGGCTTGTTCCCGCCGTCTGCATCTGCCTCTTCGGAGGCAGCCGAGGCTCCAGTCAGCGCCATGCGCAGGATCCTGGACCGCTTCAGAGGGGCCCTGTTCATGGTGGCAGAAGAGCTAAGTCACCCCACGGCCAGAAGCGTTCCCTGGACTACAGGGCTTCAAGCTGCTAGGACCTGTGGGTGCAGCCTTCAGTTGTCACATGCGGTGACCTAACGGTTCCCTCTGTCTTGGCTGAAGTTCTGCTTCCGGATTTGCCCATTGCCCAGATGCTCTTCTTCGTGCTCGCTCCCAGAGGGGGGCCATGAGACAAGACCCAAGGAAGGGAGACGGGGCCTAGCTAAGGGTGTGGGCCTTGACAGCCATGGCCAGCTTGACGACAGGGGGCTAGTACCTCATAGGAACGAGTCGCGGGGAGAAAGGAAGCGAGGGGGACGGAAGGGCAGGGTGGAGGAGGAAAGAACTGGACGCGGACCGCGTGGGAAGCGGTGCACCGAGAAGGGGCGTGGGCTGCGTGGAGGCCGGGCTACAGGAGCTCCCGGAAGCGCCCGCGGGGCTGAAGGGAGGGCGGGCTGCAGGGAGGTCACGGAGGCTCGGGGAGGCGGCGGGAGGGACCCGGACTGAGGCCTGGCGGGAGCAGGCCGGGCGGCTGCCCCGAGTTCCGGCTCAGCGCGGCAGGTCCGGGAGCGCCTCCCGGGTGGGGCGGGGCCGGCGCGCATTTCCTGACACGCCTCCGGGCCGTCTTAAAGGGCCCGCTCGCCCGCCCGGCCCGCGGCCGCCAGGAGCGCGCACGATCGCCAACCTGGAGTTGTCTGCACCTGTGCCCACAGTCCTGCCCTCTTCTTCTGGGAACTCTCGGAGGTCAGGGAAGGATTTTCAAGTTCTGGAGCCTCGCCCATTTCCTGGAAGGCTCTGTCACTCTCCCCGCCACCCGCACTGTCTTTTCCCCTGGCCTCTTTAGATCGACTAGACTCGGTCAGGTACGTCTTCACCGTCTTCCCAGAAAATGGAATACCACCCCTCCGCTTCCGGAGACCCCCACACCAGCCCTTTGTGTCCTCCAACCCCACTCCGTGAGCCCAGGTCATCCGGGAAGGCATTGTTTCGGTCCTGTCCTTTCTCCCTACCCCCATTTTCTCTGTTTCCAGACCTAGTCAGGAGGACCTGAGGTTTCGGAGACCCCAGCAGCACTTCCAGGGCGTGCCAGAAAACCACATCACCATTTCCAGATAAAGTTCCTTCTGGATGGCCAGACCGCAGCCTCTGATCCTCTCAACGCAGCACCCCCTGCCCGGGGTCCTTCCCCTCCCAGAACATACCGTCCTCCCTCCGGGCTCGGCTCTGGTGTCTTGGCGCGCGCTCCCGGCTGATGCAGGGATCTGGCGCTCACCCCGGGCGGGGCCCTCGAGCGCACCTGCAAGCACCACCCTTGGCTGCACCTACAGGGCGGCCCAAGCCGCGCCCCCAGTATGACTTCCCGCTTGCTGTCCCCAGCGTGCGCCACGTCGGGCTCTGGGTGAGGTGGGGCGGTAACCCTAGGGGTCCAGCCAGAAGGCCTCTTTCCTCTATCTAAGACCGACCCCATCTCCCTCGGGACTCCTGTTCTGTTACCATCGCAGGCCTATCCCTTGACCAGGCTGCGTCCCTGGCCCTGCGGGTCCAAGCTGATGCTTCCAAAAGGGCGTGGGTGGGAAAACTGCCGAATGCCGCCGCTACCTGAGGAGGGTACCCCCTTACCGTCCCGGGGACCAAGGCTGAGTGGGCCACCAGCTCCAGGCCTTTTACTCCCAGGCAGCTGGGAGGCCTGACTTCTCTCTGGTTTCTTCCTAATACCGTTGTTGAGCAGGCAAGTTTGCCTCCGGCTGAGCCGGTTTCTTTGTAAGCTAGTTAAAGCAGTGGGTTCCAGCCTTATTGCTTGTGTGGGTGGTCATAAAGATGTGTTTAAAATATTTCGATTACTATTTTATTAGCCGGGCCTGATGGTAAAGGGCCTGTAATCTCAAATGAGGTAGAAAGATCGAAAGTGCAAGGCCAGTCTGGGTTACAGAGTAAATTCAAGGCATGTCTGGCAACTTAGTGAGACTTGTCTCGAAATAAAATGTGGGCGTGGGCACACATAAAGAGACATGGATAAAGGTGGATAAAGGCTTGGGGATTTAGCTCAATGTTCTATAGCTCAGTGTTAGAATGCTTACCTGGCACATACAAGGTCCTGGGTTCAACTCGCAGTACAGCAAGGGGGAAGGGGCGGAGGATCAGTACTGTTTGTCAAAATATTAAATTGGAACACATTTAGCTATAGATCTGCTGATTTTTATGGACAGCTCCACTCTACTCTAGGATAGAAGTGGTACTGGTTGCCACCGGCCAGCCTGAAGAGACAAGACCTATATTAGGAGACGGAGGTCCCTGCCCTGTCTTAGCTGCATGTGATGTGACTAAGGAAAGGTATTGGGGAAAGTTGCCGGATGGTTTTGTGCACTGTGGATTCAGAGGCCGATTTCTGTGCCCAGAGATCTGGTTGCAGTGGGCACTGTCATTTCTATGAAGACTCTCCTGTCTCAATGTTGAGTAAAAATTGTTCTCCATCATCTCTGATTGGTTAATAAAGAGCTGAACAGCCAATAGCTGGGCAGGAAGATTAGAGTTGGACTTCCGATGAAGGTTGAGGAGAAGGAGGCCAGGAGGTGGACATGAGGAGTTCACCATGAGGACAGACAGATGGAGCAGAAGCAGCTAAGATGATAAGTAGCATGGGGCATGTGGCTGGGAAGTAGCCAGGCTAGTCTAATTGGATTAGAATAAATCAATATCTGCCCAGCTTAGTCCCTTAAAGCCTATTAATAAATGTAATAGGTCTCTGTGTCATTATTTGGGAGTGGGAATGGGAGTAGAAAATAAATTATATTATTTTATCAGAAAGTACTTATGAGAATGCTATCATCCTTTAGGAGAGGCTTTTAAGGTACACTGTCAGGCCTGCAGTGGGGGAAGGGAGCCCTCACAGATAATGTTGCAAAAAGGACTTCTTAACTCATGTTCTGGTCACACAGAAGTTGGACTCCAGGCAGAATCACTAGCAATGTTACCAATTTTGTTCTAGGTGACTTAGGTAATCATGTTGAAATTCTTGGGTGTGAGCCAGAGAGAGACCAAACCAGGCATCTGAGGGGTCTTTCCCCCTGTTCCTGAGTGTCCCTTCACTGCCCTTTCACAGGAGCTCACACCCAGGCACCGGCAGGACAGCAGGGGATTGGACAATCATTAACAACTATTTGCCTTTTTTTGTGAGGACTATCCTGACTCAGGCAAGCTGGCATTGGTCTTCAGGAAAAACTGGTCTCTTTTGAGATTATGTTGGGCTGCTTCCTTGAAGTTGTTTGATTATGTGGCATTCAGCGCAATTCACATTGTAACTGAAACGCCAACTGTTTCATCCTTGGTGAGCACAAAGTCAATGAGCTCAACCAGGAAATTAAGGTCTGAAGATATCAGGGCAAGTGGGTCATGGCTATAATGCCAGTGTTGGGGAGGTTTAGGAAGGAGGATGATCAGTTTGAAGCCAACCTAGGCTACATAGTGAGTCTCAGGTCAGCCTGGGCTACATAGTGAGAACTTGTCTCAAAAACAAAAGCAACAGGGCTGGAAAGGTGGCTCAGTAGGTAAGGGTGCTTTCTCTGCAAGCATGAGGGTTGAGTGCAAATTCTCAGCTCATGAATAAAACGCTGGACACTGTGTGCATCTTAATCACAGCTTTGGGGTAAGGACACATAACATTGGGCCAGCTGATGTCATTTATCAGTTCACATGTCTCAGGATCATCAGATGAACGATCTGTCTCCAGAGTTTCAGCTCAGCATGGTCACCACTGCTTGACGCAGCTCTCAACTCAAATTGCCAAACTGCTGCAAGTCTGGACTCAGTCTGTGTATTGCCTTCCATAAAACAGCTTTAAAGTTGGGCACAACATACGGGGATTCATTATAAGAGTTTTCTGGGGCTGGGGAGAGGTAGGCCTTGTGCTGGTACTTTCTCAGATCCTACTAGTTTTCTCCTCCAGGAGGGTTTGCAAGTTTTTCTGTAAAGGATCAGAGAGCAAATATTTAAAGCTCTGGATACTAGATAGTCTCTTAATATGACTCAAAGCTACTATTTTAGTATTGTAAACAAAGGGGGACAGCTTCATTTCAATAAAACTTTATTTATAAGAACAACTAGTGAGCCAGCTTTGGCTCACAGGCTATAGTGTTCTTCCTATATTACTGTATTTTCCTTCCTTCTAATGTTACCCATATTTTGTAATCCAGTGTATCCACCTGAACTACTTACTCCTAGACTCTCTTACAGCTAGAGGTGACCATGTATTATACTTTTGGATAATGAGTAGTATTGTTGTCTCTGTTGCTTCCTTTTTCTTTTTCTACCTACAATGCAGAACTGAGGTCTGGAAGGGGAGCAGCTCCCATGAGTCAAAGGAAAGCTGGGGATGGCAGATCAGAGCATAGAGAAATCCTGGGCCCTCACGGTTTGCCTAAACTCTTTCTTCTTTGCTCTGAACTGCCTTCAGTTTATTATAGGAGATATATAACACTGTGGGGTTGGTAGTCTTTGTTTTTTCTTTAGCCAAACAGAGGCGTCCTGGAAATAGTTCAGTGCTGCTAACCACTTGTGTTGAAGGCTCCAGGAAGGCTTTGGATTGGAGCCTGGGGCAACAATGCAGACTATTTAGTTATCAAAGAGTGAACCAAATCCACAGAACTGAAATTAAATGGAGGACTTCAGAGACTCATGTTCAAGGCTGGGGCAGGAAAATGGGATTAGGTAGGCCCTTCAACAGACGGGGAGTACAGCCAAAGGAGCACATCTTTCAGACGAAACTTGGAAAGATGCTGAGATGAGCAGGGAGCCAGCCCTTCTTTTAATCAAAATTATAAGACAATTGTCTTTATTTCCTGGGCTGACTTCTGTTAAGCACTTGGCTTTCGACAGCACAGGCTTTCTTGGGTGTTTTGTCTTGGATCAAGAGCAATTTACTCTGAAACTCTCCATGTTTCTACTTAATCTCCAAGCAACGATGTCATTTCAGATTAGCAACTGAACTCTGCGGACCAACAATGTCATAGCCCTTAGCAAGGGCACACCCTAGCAATTAGTGTTTATGGAAGGCTGAATTTGTGCCAGGAGTTTTATGCACAGCAGGCCAGTCCTCAAAGTGCCCTGTGTGGTGCCATCATAGTCTGTAGGCTACAGACAAGGTGTTGAAACCCAGACATGTGACAACCTCCTCCCCGGAGGAGGAGGTTGAATGGTCTGGATTTTAACCCCAGTCAGTTTGCCTCCTGAGCTGAAGTCTGCTCACCCTTTGCTTAATCTCTTAGATTCTCCAGGTGCTGTGGTTTGGATGTTCTTTGTCTTACAAAGTCTGTGCATTGGAGATTTGTTCCCTAGTGTGAAGCTATGGAATGTGGTGGGGCCTTGGAGAAATGGAGCCTGGTGGGACATTATTAGGGCCTTAAAAGGAATTAAGATAGTTTTCATGGACCTGCACCACCCGGGCAGTTCTTCAGAGGGCTTTTAAAAAAAAAAATTATTTTTTAATAATTATAGTTTATTCACTTTGTATCCCAGCTATAGCCCCTCCCCCAGACCCTCCCAATCCCATTATCCTTCCCTCATCTCCTCCCATTCTCCTTTGCAAGTCTACTGATAGGGGAGGTCCTCCTTCCTTCCCTCTGACCCTAGCCTATCAGGTCTCATCAGGACAGGCTGTATTGTCTTCCTCTGGGCCTTCAGAGGGCTTTGTGAGAAAAGCTTGAGCCTGGCCCCTCCCAGCTCTCATGCCTCCTGTTCCATGCTGGGAACAGGATATCTTCCTGCTACAGTGAGTGCCCTTGCTACCGCTACTTTCATGATATGTCTGTCACCTACTAGAGAATCCTCTCCGGGACACAACAGGGACAGGTGCTATGCCCTCAGCCCCCTAAGCTGCCAGTTGAAGCAACTCGTTAGCTTTATTAGAAGCTGCATCAGATATTTAGTTCATAATCCCAACTAAGGTTTAACCTGCCAGTCTAGGGAGTGTCCTGGCTTTGCTGCTTCTGGTCCTCTAGTGAAAGACTTGCCTGGGCTCCAGTTGTCCCTAGGATACCTGCCACAGGGGCAATTGGTAGTCCCACAGCGGATCCACTGTTTCTCTAGCTCCACCACCCATTGGCTTTATCTCTCACTACAGGTGTGAGCTCCCTGGCGATAAGAGTGTGCTGGGGACAGTAGTGACTAACAGTAACTAGCAGATAGTGGTATAGGCCGCCTTGTGGTCTCAGCACCACACAGGATAACTCACATTGCCTCACTTTCTGGAATTGAGGGACTAGGGATGTGTCAGTTGGTGGAATGCTTGCCTAGTATGTGTGAAGCCCTGGGTTTGATCCCCAGCTCTTCGTAAAACTGGACATAGTGGCATACATGACTAATCTGAGCATATGAGAAGCGGAGGCAGGAGAATCAAAAGTTTAAGGCCACCCTTAGCTACACAGCAAGTTCAAGCCAGCCTGGGTTGCACAGGATATTACAACAAAACAAAAAACAAAAACAAAACAACACCTCCCTGCAAAAAAACAACTAAATAAAAAAATTCAACCTCCCCCCAAAAAACCCCAGAAAAACTGAGCTTCAAAGAGGTAAAGTAACCTATGACCTGCTTAGAGTCCTGAGGGCTTGTAAAAGACAGGGCTGGGATTTGAACCTGGACGGTGATTTACTAACTAAACTATTAACATTCTTCTGCCTCTTCTTCTGTATAGCATTGTGCACCTCACTGCATTGCCTTTCTTCTTCCCTTCTTCCCTCCCACCTCTTCCTTGCCCTTCCTTTCCTATCTTTCTCCCCTTCCTCTTCCTTTCTACCTCCCTTCCCCTTCCCTCTTTCTCTCCCTTCCACCCTTTCCCTCCCTTCCACCCTTCCTTCCTCTACTGGGGATTGAACCATGGGCCTCATGCATGTTAGGCAGGTGCTCTACCACTGAACTATATCTACAACACCCCACCTTTTTTTCTTTTAAAAATCTGAGACAGGGTTTCATTGTTACCTAGGCTGGCTGTGAACTCACCCTGTAGCTTAGATGATCTTGAACTTGTGATCCTTCTGCCCCAACCTCCTAGTAGCTGGGATTATATCTATATTACTAGGCACAGCCAAAGTATTTTCACATGTTGGAACACCTCTCAGAGCTTCTGAGCTTCATAGGACCTTAGGGACTGTCTGTGTTAGCCCCCTGACAGTACTGAGAAGGGCTTGGGTTCAGCAGGAGTGAGTTTTTCTGAAGCAAAAGACTGAACTAAGCTTGTCTAACTGCTCCCAGCACTGCCAGCTGCTTTCCTGTGCCCCAAGAGCATGACACTAAGGTCCTGGACTCTGTTGTTCTCTGGCACTTACCATGTAAGTGTGCAGCAGGTGGCCTGCGACTCAGATTCATGCCTTAATAATGTCTACAACAGCACCACCCAATGTGGACTTGTGCAATTTGGAGGACTGTACAGAGTTTACTTCCTGTAGTATCTGTGCCTATGAAGAACGGAATCTGCTTCTAGGTGTAGAAATGCCCTTGTCTCTTCCCTTAAGGGTTAACCCAGTGGCTCAGGTCAGGGACAGGGACAGGGCTAGGGGAGCCCCCCCCTAGAAAGGCAGGTTCACTTTAAGATCAGGTGCTTTTCTTTCTCAGAAGCCCTGCCAGCCGTGCCACCATGAAGTCCTGCCTGGTGTATGCACCCCTTTGAAGCCCAACCCAGAGAGGTGTCACTGTTCCTTTTTCTTTTACTCTGTCTTTTGATTTTTTCATTTATTTTTTGAGATTAATTACACCATCCCCCCTTTCCTCCTTTCAACCATCCCATGTACCCCTCATTCCTCCCAGATGCTACGCAGAGCCCAAGTATGCTTTTAACCTCGCTGGTGTTGTGGGCCTCTCATTCTACTGGCCAAGCCCTTCCTGAAGCAGATCCAGGGTCTGAATGGGAGGACAGCACAGAGTTACAGGGTGGAGAGTACAGGTACAGGTTGGTTAATCATGCGGTCAAATGTGTCCCATGTTCTACCGTGGAATGAGCCCGTCCTGTTCATCACAGGGTCCCCGGTGTTAGGACTTATGTAAAAATGATGTCACACATACAACAGATGTGGTATGAAATTTATTGTATAGAGGTGGAGGTGGGGAGAGAGAGAAAGAGAGAGACATGGTGGTAGACTCCCAGGAGAGAAACAGGCAGAGAGAGTGCGTGAGAAGAGAGAACAGAGAGAGAGAGAGAGAGAGAGAGAGAGAGCAGGTGGGAGTGGCTGACTGTTTATATATGAAGCACCTGGCTCAGGTGATGTCATAGGGTGTTATCAGGACTCGAAAGGCCCCTAAGGGCAGGCTAGTTGAACTGCCTGCACAACATAACATCTGGTCCCTATCAGAGCCTGCCTTTGGTGCCCCATAGAGGCTTGGTGGCTGAATGATCGAGTGGCAAGAAGGGGGAGCATGACCTGGAACTGGAGCAGAGAGACAGAGTGAGCAGGTTTGCCTGCTTGCCTGCTTGTGAAAGGGTTTCACTATGTAACCCTGGTCTCTGTGTAGACTAGGTTGACTTGGAACTCACAGTGATCCACCTGCCTCTGCCTCATTAGTGCTGGAATTAGCGGTGTGTGCACCAACATGCCAGGCCAACCCCTCTTTTGTAAGAGTTCTCTTACAAGAACTCAGGGCACCTCACAGAACCAATGTTCAGCTTACAGCATTCTAAGGACCTACTACCCCCTACTTCCCCCGCCCCCAACCAAATCCACCACTTCCATCAGCACCACCCAGGATCCAGGGTTTAATTCCAATGAGCCCTGGGGACACGAATCATATTCCATCCATAGCACTTGTTGTGGTTCAGCCTTTGGAAGACCACATGGTTGAATAGTCCATGGTGCAACATATGAAACTGGGAACAGTTAATAATCCTGTGATCATGAAAGGGACATTACACGCACAAGTTACATACCTGTACACACAGGTATTACATGCACACGCACAAGTATACATACCTGTACACACAGATGCACACGCATGTACATAGACATTTACGTCCACAAACTTAGCTCCACATCCACACACACGCTCAGGTACACACACAGACACTTTCTGACACAGGAGCTCTCTCTTTCTCTTTATCCCAGGCTAGCCCAGAAC